AAAAAAAAAGAATTTTTTATCACATTTCAATTAACTGAAATATTTTAGAAAAATTGGAAGATACAAAGAATAAATAGGTAACTGAGAAAGAGAAACTGGCAATACTATTAGTATTATTGTATTTGGAACATTTAAAATGAGAAGCATTGACATATGATTACCTTAAGTCCCTTACTGCAGAGTACTAGAGTATACCAGACAATGAAAACCACAAGTAAAAGTCATTCACTAATAAACTAATTTAACTGTTAAAATGTTTTTTTTTTTCTTTTTTGGAAAAAAAAAAAAAAAGTGCAGCTACTTACCAACAAGTCTTATTACATTCAACGTTGTATTTGTTAAAATAGGTGCATTCACTTTATTTAGACTGTAATCTGATTTCTTCCTGCTTTTTAGAGTTTCTCGAGAAACACTTTATATGGAAAAACAAAACAGAGTTGCTAGGGTTGTCAAGTATTAAACCAATAAGTTACTCAGATTAGGCTCTAACCTTCATAACTAATCATTTGATGAAAATCTTACTATGCATTAAGTAGAGAGATTAACTTCTTATCCTTATAAAATTTACATTCCATAAGACAAGCAAAAAACTAAAGTACCATAATGCATTTCTTCGATTCTAAAACATTATCTATCAACCACTAAAAAAGCTACATCACTTTAAAAAATAGATTTTCTAGGATAATTATATATCTAAGTGTAAATGTACTATGTTTCTTCATTTCGATAACTTATAAACATTAAAAAAATACCATCCTAAGAATCTGAATTAAGTATAGAATATTGATGGCAGTATTTGGGGCTAAGGGGCAGCATTAGGTTCAATAGAAAAATTAAAGTTATATGGTAAGCACAGAAAAAAGGGCCAGCATAAAATAGGGTCAGAGATAAGAAAGAACAGAGTGTGCTCAGAAAATTACAAGGAGTTTACCACATGCACATGTAGAACAAGTGGACAGAGGGGAAAATGACAAGAAAGGAGACAAGTAAAGGCCAGATCCTTGAAAGCAATCAAACCCGAGGGACATGAACCTTATCTTGAATACAGTGGTGAGTCACTAAAAAGTAACCAGTAACATGACATGACTTAATTTTTATCTATGAAAAAAAAAAAAAAAACCATAAATTTAGATCTAAGAGTTGTTTGGAAGTGGGCAAGCCTAGAGACAAGTGCCAAAGTAAGGGAGTTGATTTAACAATCTGGCACAGAGATAATTTTGGCATAAACTAGAATGGTAGGGGTGAAATACAAGAAAAATTGTTCAAGAGACACAAATTAGAACTGAGAATAACTATTAATTTATTGGCTTCAGTTACCAATTTGGTCAATTCAAACTTCTTAGGGGTAAGAAGTTTAGGGGCTGCAATAACCCTACCAAAAATTGAGACATATATACATGTACTGGCAGACACTATCTTACTTGTACATTTCAATTCAAATGGACCTTTCCTTTTGGCCAAAATATGCCCAAAATAAATCTAATAAAGAATTCCAACAAAATAGTTCTATTCAGTTCACAGTAGATCATATTGACACTTAATATCATACATATGCAAAAACAAATAGGACAAATTTTTTCAATTAAAATACCTACAAATACGTGAATTGCTCACTTTTGAAAACAATTATTTCAGTCGGGATTTCAAGTTAAACAAGTATCAAATAGATAGCCTGGGGTTAAACAATAAGAGTATACTTAAATCTATCATTAAGAAAAAAGTACATCTATGGTCACTAAATGTTTGATAGTCATGAAATCAAGTCATTTCAACATCTAAGAATCAGGCTCATTTAACTGGCAAAAGGTAAGAAAATATTGTTATAATTATCATAGTTTTGAAGAGGTCAGTTTATCATAAAACACAACTCAACAACTAATGGGACACCTTGATAGAAGGTTCAAATAGTGAACACAAATGACATAGGGAAAATAAGTGGCAACTTTCTGTGTTTACAAGATTGAAGCAAGAACTCCACATACAAAACAAAAGACCATTTTCTCTTTGAGGTTTTTTTCTTTTATTAAATCTATGTAAAGAATAAATGGCCACCAGGCAGCATTGATTTTATAAATCTAAAGGTTTCTTCCTCTGCAAAAACTGATCTCTGATTATACCCAATATTTTCAACAAGATAATAAAGTAATTTTAACAGATTTTAAAAATAACTATCTAACTTTGTGATGACATAAAAAAAGGAATTAGAATCTTGCTACAAAAAACAATGTCAAACAAACTATATAACTCAAAGGAAAGCTACATTAAAAGTAGCCATTTAATAACTTATAAATGACTAAATCAGTTTCTTTCTTGACACAATAACAATCCAGTTCACAGTTAAATGAACTGATTTGTGAGATGCCAGCAAAAGTTTTGTGAACTTTTCATATATCTATTTTATTTTTCCTGAAATTCAGTTATGAAATGTTAAGGGGGAAAACTTGCATTTTTAGACTTCCAGGTATTATTTTTAAATGATTCTGTCAGGTGACATTATAAGTACCAAAAAAAATTAATTTTGTTTTTTTCTTAACCTTAAAGGAAATCGTATATGTTAAGATAACAAGATAAAATGCTAAATACCACACAATATATGAATAATCACCTTTTCACAGGAGCATCTCCTGTCTGCTCATCCACATAGTCTCGTTTGAGTTCCTCAGGAACATCACTGTCACTGTCATACTCTTGATAGGCACTCTTTTCTTGTTCATCAGATTCATACTGAAGAAAACACAGGATATTAAAAAGTGAGTATAAAGAGCCTCTTTTTGTGGGGTGTCTCAACACAGTGAAAGTATCCCATTTTATAAGCAACAGCTAAATACAAGAGAATTCTCAATTTAGCTTCAATATTGTTACCAAGAATCTCACTATTCTTCCATTATCTTCATCATTTCTACCTTAATCAGCACAAAATAAAAATATTACACCTATAAAAGCCTGAAAATGTGCAACAAGTTCAAATCGCCATAAACAAGAACCTAACAAACATTCCACTTGGCCTAAAAAGAGAAAAGTATATATTTTGCTTCTTTTTTTTTTTAACCTAACATCTCTCAGAAGTTTCACCATACTTATTTCCAATTGCTAATAAAACTCTTGAAAAAGAGGTTCAGTATCCAATTCTGGCACCCTGGAAGTATTACTTCAGCTTAATAAATATGTGCAACACACATGCTGATGTTCTACCTAATTCACTATGATAAGATTTAATTCTAATGGTAACTTAGAAAATTAAGCTTAGAACACAAGGACCTACTGAGAATGTGGACAAAAATGGTAGATTTCCCCTTGAGAGGAAGGGTCTCTTCATAACATTTTCATCATCTTTATGGTACCATGGCCCAATGCCAGCATGGGAAGGACAGTGAAATTCAGGCACAATAAAGGAAGCAGTGACAGCACTTTCATTATGATCATCATCATCATCATCTATTAATGTTACAGATTTATATGCTTAAATAATGGCTAACATTAATACGATTAAATGATAGCTAACACTGAGTTTTTAACCAAGTATTATGCTAAGTGCTTTCATGAGTTATCTCATTTAATCCTACAGACACTTCTATGAGGAAGTTTTATCTCCACATGACAGTTGAGGAAACCAGTATGATAACAACATGGCAAGAAGTTAGTCCTGTAATTCAACAACCATATTTTGAGAGTCTATTAATAAAAAGCACTATGAAAGGTCATATTTAAATGTGGACCCTGATTCTCAAGACATAAATTGCACCTGGAAAGATTAGATCACACATTAATAACTGCAAACAAGTCTTACAGGTAATCCTCTATACCTATACACAATGTGATCCCGATGCTATGCAGAAAGGTATTCTACACAAGCTAGGATGTCCTGGTTACAACAACAGAGTTTTGTGACCACACTGTATCATATATACTCATTATTTGAGGATTTAATATTTGCAAATTTGCCTATTCACTAAAATTTATTCGTAACTCTAAAGTCAATACTCAGGACATTTTGGGAGTTATTCATAAATATGTGCAGAACAGTGAAAACTTTGAGTCATACAACATGCATGTTACCAGCTGAGGACAAACAAGGCATGCTCTGTCTTCCTGCTTAGGCTCTCATACTATAAACAAGTTTCCTTTTCATGACCAATTTAGTGCCAAATATTTTATATTTTTGTGCTTTTTGTTGGTGATATAAGTGTTTTGAATGCCCCTGCAAGTGTAGCACTGAAGTGCTGTCTAATGTTTCAAAGTACAAGAAGACTGTGATGTGCCTTACAAACAAACGTGTGTCTGGTAAGTGATAAGCTTCATTTAGGCATCAGTTATGGCGTTGTTGACTGTGAGTTCAGATTATGTACTGATGAGCTGATAAACATGCTGCAACCAGAGGCTCATAGGAACGTAATCCTGTATTTGCTCTGGGAGTAATGGTTCACTATTTGCTAATTCAGTATTCACGGCAACTTTATAGAACACACTGATGCAAATAATAAGATTCAAATGTTATGTCAGTTTTAAATAATGAATCACTTTTATAGAGAGATATATTATTTTAAAATAATTGGGATGACTTTAAATTCCTCTTGGTTTAGTCAACTTCACAGAGGCAAAATGTCACAAAGAATCACAGAATCATAAAATATGGCTTACTATGAAACAATTTAAATTTCATGAATTTTATCTTCATCAAATAAAGAAATTCTATAATAAAATATAAAGACAAATCCTTCAAGGTATTTTTGTCATATCTGAATAGTTTTCACTTCAGCTTCATAAAATCGAAAATAAAAATCATATTGGGTCACTACTGAAATTAAGAAGAAACCATCAAACAAAATATTAAGTCAAGTAAAATACTGTGAAACCCCATGTAGGTAACTGTGAAGCAAGCATTCTTCTCACTGTAAATCTCAGGAAACTGAGGGTGACAGATTGTGCCAAGGGCCACACAGCTGATAAATAATAAAGATGATATTCATTATCTGCCTTCAAATCCTTTCCACTAACTCACACTATGTCTAGTTAATACTGTTTTTGAGGTCCTCAAAGTGTGGTTAAAACACTGTACTTCCAAATCTCAAAAAATATCCCTGCCTGCCAACTAAGCAAGACATTATCACTTTCTCTTAGTTAAAGGGACATGGAACAAAATAAACCAGTTACCCATAAAGGGTGTCAAGAAAAAGGACAGATGATATCTATTCCCTCACTCATCTGTCTGTACAATAAATCATATAAGTATTCAGTGAAAAAACTATATTACTACTTGATTAGCAACATAAAAACATAATAAGAACATAAACAAACAAATTTACTATTTAAGAGGACAAGGTCAACAATGCAAATTATAGAGTCATTATCTATAAATGTAATATCATAGGTACATTAAGTATATAGGTAGGCAGAATGGTAGTAAATGGACACATAAATGTAGTGAATTGCCTTACTCATTGAGTAGAATGTTTTTAAATTAAGAAATCTCACTTATGTTTCACATACCCCATTAGAAGCCAAGACATCTTCTGTTTCTTCATCTTTGTGGTTAGCCTGAATTTCAAACGGATTCCCACCACTACAGTACTGCTCAAACAAGGTCACTGCTTTTGAAGAATTTGAGACTGGCTGCTTACTAGGTGAAACTGATGGGGAACGAGACTGTTCCATGAATTTAAATTCCTAGATGTTAAAAAAAGGAGCCAGATACCTTTTAGCAAAAATAAAATTCTAGTATATAAACAGAATCCATCAATATAAATGTAGAGTATCAGAAAAATAACATCTTGACCTTCAGGTTATTGACTTTTAAATCAAGCAAGTTGCCTAAAAGCACACACTTGGAAATACGTGATTAAAGGTTTTCCTAAAGACAACTCAGTGAATGATACCACTTAAAACAGTATCATCTGCATCAAGCTACTTTTGACTTCCTTTAAGAAGCTGCACAGATCATTTTTTAAAATAGCTTAAGAAATTTGAACAATGTCTTTTAAAAATTTTAACACAACAGCAAAAATCCTAATCAATAAAGTCATTTATGAAAATAATTGTTAAAGTAAAACACCTTGCTTTTTCATATGCTTACATCACTTAAGATATTCTATACAAATACATCAGAAACAAAGTATAAAATATATATCTGTGTTACACTGATGTCCACAAAATACAGCAGTCGGCCCTTTCCTGAATTCAAAACAAACAAAAAATAGCATTTTAACTGTAACTCTTTTTAGGCAAAAGAGACTTCCTGAAGTATGTAAACTGAATTTTGTAAAAGAAGACAGATTTTTCATAACCATAAAAGGATCATTCCTGTAAAAGATGCTGCCTACTAATGACTTCCAAGAAAGGAATAAAAGAAACTGTTTCTTAATTTATTTTATAAATGTTTTCATATATTTTTGGATAATTTTTTCAAAAAGAAAAGGTAAAAAGATGACTGAAAGACATATTTCTTTGTTCTTAAGAGACACTTACATGAAGTTGCAAGATGCTGAAATTTGACTTAACAGGACAAAGTTCCCAAGTCTCATTCTCTAGGAACATTCTCAGTTCATCAAGCCGTGTTCTTAAAAAAAGAAAATGAACACTCCAAAAAGTGAGAAGAAAAGTAGACTGCACACAAGAATTGAGAAAATAACGTATGACACAAATAATTATAGGATTATCATCATGATCATAATCAACTTTGAGAACCCGTTCGTATTAATGCAGTAAACTGAAATGTTTACTTTAGTTAGTTAATATCATCCTTGAGAGAAAAACTCTCTCAAATGTTTACTAAACTAAATGTTTGTACTATATTGCAAAAGTAATACATAGGAAATGACAATTTTATTAGAGGACTAAATTAAAAGCTTGTCACCAACTCACATACTTAAAATATCCTCAGCTGATTATATATCAATGCTAAAACATAAAGACAAAATTTACAGATTATACGAGATCATCAATACTAACACATTACATTAAACAGCACAGCTCTAGTAAAGTCACAGATCTAGTGAACCATATCTAGTAAAGCCCCAATAGCAAGATAATTATCGCTTTCTGAAAATGTTTAGCTAAGTGCCTATCCCTACACAGCATTTACAAATTAAATTAGCAGGTAAGACACCTATATACTTGACATTCCACTAATCACTTATGCCATTCTGATCTCTTGTTTCTTTAATGCTATTGTTCTTACTGTCTATCCTGAGTAATCAACACATTATATAGGCAATCCCAGAAAAACAAACCCTTTTTTCCAGTTGACAAAGGGCCAGTGCCTGCTCTATTCTTCCTCTTTCAACCACAAGTTGATAGTACCGTGCTAAAAACAAAACCTAGATTTTTTTCAATCCACAGGTTCAAAATAGATAATAAATAAATGACTCTAAAAAACAGGAATTGCTCCAAATACTAGAGTTAACGGACAAGGACTTTAAGATAATTACTAAAAGTTAAATAAAACAGAAAAAAATATGTATAAAATGGATAGAAAAGAGAATTTCAAATAACTGCAATAAGAGAAACAAACAATAAGAGAATCAAATAGACATCTGAGAACTGAAAAATATACTTCCAATTAAAAACTGATTGGATTGTAAAATAGCAGTCTAGAGATGGCTGAAGATAACATTCATGAACTCAAAGACAGATCAACAGAAAATATCTAAATTGAAGCAAAAGTTGGAAAAAAAGGGAAGAAACAGAAAGATCATAAGAGATATGTGAGATAGTAAAAACATTTATTATGCAGGCAATTGGATGGAGAGGACAGAGAAGAGGCAAAAACAGTATTTGAAGACATAATGGCCAAGAATTCCCAAAAGTGATTGTGTGCATAGCTCACCACACATAAAAATTACCTCAATTGGATCGCAGACCTAACTAAAAACTAAAACTACAAAACTTGACAACTCAATAATAAAAAAACAGTAACCCAATTCAAAATGGATGAAAGCTTTGAACAGATATTTCTGCAAAGAAGATACACAAAGGCCAATAAGCATCTTAAAAGATGCTAAATATTATGAGTCATCAGGGAAATGCAAACCCAAAACATGATAAGATACCACTTCATACCTACTAGGCCAGCCATAATCAGAGACAAACAACAGGTGTTGACAAGGTATTAGAGAAATTGGAACCCTCATATAGTATTAGTAGAAATGTAAAAATGTATCATGACTTTGGAAAAAAGTGTGACAGTTCCTCAAAATGTTAAACAGGAAGAGTTACCATAGGACTCAGTAATTCTGGCTGCTGTAACAAATTACCACAAACAAGGTGACTTAAACAAGCGGAAATTTATTCTCTCACAGTTGTAGAGGCCACAGCCTGAAAATCAGTATCAGTGGGTTGAAATCAAGATGTTAGCAGAGCTCCACTCTCTGGAGGCCCTAGGGGATAATGTGTTTCCTGTCTCTTACAGACTGGTTTGTGGTATTTATTACACTGTAATTTAAAGCAAATACAGTGATAATAGGTATAACCCAGATTGAAGAAGCGCAGTCAACGCTAGGCATAAAAAATGTATAGACAATAATATATAAAGCAAAAGTATATGACAAAACACCAAGAGGATAGGAGAAGTAAATGCAGTTAAAGTTGGTTCCTGCGTTATTCTGGAAGTATGCTACCTAAAGTAGACTACAGTAGAACATAAATGCATATTGAAATGGTGGTGGTAACCATTACAAGAATGTATTTTTTAAAAGCTAACAGAAAAATTAATATAAAAAGTAAAAATATATATGATCGATCCAAAACAAGCAAAAAGAGAAAAATTTTTTTAAATATTTAACATTTTAGATATAAAACAGCAATATGATGGGTTTAAATCTATTAAGAATTATGCCAATAAATATATTAAATGTAAATGGAAAGACAGTTCTATCAAAACACAAAAATTGTCAGACTAGATTTAAAAAACATCAACAAGTCCAGACTTGATAAGTGGTTGAAAAAGGGCACATTTTAAATATAAGAACACAATTAGAAAGAAAGTTAAAATTACACAAAAACACAATTTCTCAAAATCATAAGCTGGGGTAGAATTATCAAAATTATTTTCTACATCTAATAAAATGATAATTATGATTTTTTCTTCTATTCTGTCAATTGATAAATTAAATTTCTTAATTTTTTTTTTAATGTTTAGCCAACTCCAGTTCTCCTGAAATAAATCCTACCTGTTCATAGCATATTATCCTTTTCAGGTATCACTGAATTTAATTTGCCAATATTTTGTTTAGGATTTTGCATCTATGTTCTTTTTTTTTTTTTGAGATGGAGTCTCACTCTGTCACCCAGGCTGGAGTGCAGTGGCGCAATCTCGGCTCACTGCAACCTCTGCCCAGGTTCAAGCAATTCTCCTGCCTCAGCCTCCTGAGTAGCTGGGATTACAAGTGTCTGCCACTGCGCCGGCTAATTTTTGTATTTTTAGTAGAGGCAGGGTTTCAACATCTTGGCCAGGCTGGTCTTGAACTTCTGACCTCTTGATCCACCTGCCTCAGCCTCCCAAAGTGCTGGGATTACAGGCATGTGCCACTGTGCCCGGTCTGCATCTATGTTCTTATGTGATACTACCATGTCATTTCCCTTTCTTATTATGTCCCCTTGTTCTGTTTTGGGATCAATGCTATGCTGGCCTCATAAAATAAATTATAAAACATTCCCTCTTTCTCTATTCCATAAAAGAGTTGTGTTGGTATTGTTTTCTCCTTAAATATTTGGTAGAATTTACCAGTAACATCAGCAGGCCTGAAGATTTATGCAAATGTTTTGAAGCCCAAATATAATTTCTTCAAAAGACCCTGGACTATTCATATTTTCTATATTTTGTTTTGTAAGGTTATGAAGTTTGGCTTTATAAGGAATTTGTTTATTTCATCTAATTTGTTGTATTTTCTTCTAAAAAGATAGGTGACTTCTCTCTTCTAACACCAGTCAATGCAACCTTAGGATCCTTGAAAATATTTTATAAGCTTTGATTACTAAAGTAACTACAAAATAAAACATACTTATTAAACAGAATATTTTGACAATTATACATTGCTCTGTAATTTTTATGTCACTATGGTTTTAATTAGAATATTTGTGCTTTTAGAAATTCTCCAACATGTGACAGAACAATGTTTTTTGGGTGTATATAAACTTAGTATATGGATTTTTTTTTAATGGGGGAAAATAAAACTTATACTTTTGAGAGGTAGGAACAAACAATAATAGAGACTGTGTTCCCTCGCATGTTCATACGGTTTTATCCCAGAAAAAGATAGTGGAATGCAAACTTTCAAACAACTACCACAACTAACATTAATACATGTCATAAGTAGATGTTCTGCCAAAAATAAACTGCTCCTATTTTTACCTTTTTATTATGCCTATAACTTCAAACCAATAGCTTAAAAGGATTCAAAGTCAGAATAATTTGGTTCAAGAATGTCTTCATTCTCGAGAGCTCTATTTGGCAGGAGAGGACCTTGAAACAAACTGTATGCACATTTAAACACTTCCATTAGCAAAATAAAAACACCTCATCTATATTTCACCATGTTTCATACAGTTTTTCAGTATTTATGTAGTATGATTTGGCAAAGGGGATATTAATTTGTGATTTTGCAGATTTAGATTCATCACTGACTAATGCAATGACTTTAGTCATTTCAATGTATGTACGCTAGCATCATTTCTAAAGTTCCTGTCAAGTTTATTTTGTTTTGTAAAGAAACAAATATACCTTAGAACACATTGATGGTTTGCACCAACTTTACCAAATGACTTCCACTATAATTTTCCCAATGGCAACTGTCAGAGAGAAAAATGACTTCAGACAGGATAGAAACTAAACTACCTTAAACTTTTTTTTAAATACTAGGGAAAAAGAATAATACCGTGTAATAATTAAATCTTTCCTGTTTAACCTGCCCCAATTTTTATAATATAAAATACTGCAAGAAAACGGGTCATGATGTGCAGAACCAATGGAGAGACCTTTTAATCTGGCCACTTCATTTTATAATTCATAGAATCACTGGCCAGAGAGGTTAAAAATTTGCCAATATCAGACACTTCGTAAGCAGCAAAAAATGGGACAAGAACCTAAGTCTACTATTACTCAACGCAGGTTTCCTTTAAATAATATAGCACAGCCACATCAATGAGAAATAGGTTTTACAAATGTTTCTAAAAGAAGTTATTTAAAATGTTGAGTGTTTGTGGAAGATTTAAGTCATTCATTTCTGTATTCTCTAATTTCATTAATGTGAACTCTGTGAAGAATTTCCATCATGGTCAAAATCTCCATATCTAGTTGCTACAGATGACAGACACCTTTCGACAATAAGTAAAACAGAATGCAGAATGGAAGCCACTAAATAGATCAGTGTTTCTATATTGTACACACATCCTAGACACTAGGAACACCAAAAGCTCTCCCAGTTGTCATGTTGGATACAAAGCAATCTCTGGGAAGAGAGACATTTGGCATGATTCATACTACAGGGAAAGTGAGGCTTCTTGCTCCTTTGTGCTTCCTTTTTATTCCCTATCCATGATTAACAGGCCCCTCCCACTTCTAGACAGGAATGTTTAAGGAACCAGCCCTTTGTTTTAGTTAGGGTTTAAGTTTTCACAGAAAACAAAGTTATAAATAAAGGCAGTATTAGGGCTTCCTATTGGTCCCTTCCCACTGTTTCCCTGAGCTTTATTCAATTAAATTTTTTAATTTTTAAACATTCTCAATTATGAAACTCAAAGGCTGTGCTTTAGTATAGTTCAATTTAAATCTTTTTCAAACAATTTACTTAATTGTTTGCAATTAACACAGACAACTCATAGTCAATATATTTAATAATTAATTAATCAATGGTTTGGTGTTCAGTCATCTTTCTTTTGACATGGCATATATGACTGTGAGCAGGTGTTGACTATGAACAAAAGAAGAAAAAGCAGAATTACAAATCATGACTCTCTCTGGCACCAAATAACATGGATATCAAAACTTAATTGTAAAAAGTAAAAGTTCAGAATAAAAAGTAAGATATAACTCAACTCAAAGGACAAAATATATCTAAGGGATACAACTTAGGGTCTAGCTTATAACAAGAGAAGTCTAATGTTAGCTTTCTCTTCCCTCAATTTACTGCTGCTCTAAGCATATAATCACAGTGGCATTATGAACATTCTTTCCCACCTTCCTCCACTCCCCAAAAACCATTCGTAGTCACCCTTTTAAATATTAGCTGTGATTGTTTTGCAAGGCAATGCCGTATACAAATTTGGCTTTGTAGCAAGATTCTGAATATCATATCCTCTCCTCTAGAAGACTTATTACTTCTAAAAGACAGATGCTCTCAAGCACCCCCTCACTGAGCACTGCCTCTACTGATTTAACTTCCTTATACACACACCCATATGTATGCAGGCATGGAACAGTGGCCAAATTCTTTCTGGGAACCTTGATCTAATAATCACGTTTTACTCATAAAGGAATCAGTAAGCCCCTCAAGACAAAGAATACATTAAAATTTACAATGAATACATAATGAGAACATTTCATTATATTTTGGTTTAAAAAAACCCTTAACCATCTTTAAAAAGGTACAACACATTCAAATTCAAAAATAATTGTTTAAAATCAATTAATGCTATAAGATTAAGGATTAGACAAAAGTATTATCATTACTTAAATAAGTCCATTCATATTTTATTAGAGTTCTTACCTATGGTAATTCTTGAAATAATTGACACTTTGTTTTCTAATAGACTCCTGTAAAACTTCAGACTTGCTACCACAAAATTCTTCTCCAACTTGCATCAACCTAGTTGGATAAAAAAAAGTTTAAGTAAATTTCAGCAACATCCTTATAGAGGAAAAAGAAGTGCAGGTTCTTTTCTTCAAAGATTAAAAAAAAAAATGCAAAAATTTGGATATGTGAAAAAATTCTAAAGATCACAAATCCATTAAGGTTTACAAACATCTAGAGGGCAGAAATATTTAAATACACTAACATAAAAACACAGCAGCCATCAAATTATGAATGTATGATTATCTTCATTTCCATAAAGAAGTTACAGATGATAACTCACCAGTTCATTATTTCTTGATTATCATGGTTGAATGACTCATACTAAAGAATAAGACAAGATCTTAAACACTACCTGCTGATTATATCCAAAACAAAGATGAAATCATCATATTTGAATATAGACAAATCAGTTCCAAGCAAGTAGGTTTTTACTTTTAGCTGAACATCCTGTAAGACAAAGAAAAAAAAATTCAAGCAGATCCAAAATATAGAAAATGAGGTATCAGAACCATTTACTCTATAGTTCCAGATTAAAATGAGACAGGAATTATTCTTAATTTGACAAAGAATATCTATTTAGACCAACAGCCAAAATCCTTAAGGGAGATATAACAGAGACAAACCCATTAATATCAGATGCAAAATAGTAATGGTCACAATCATCACTATAATTTAACAGTTATATAAATTTCTATCCAACATAAAAGACACAAACACACATACCCATAACATGTTAAGATAAAAATTATATCTTCATACTGGACATGATAAAAATCATTATTCATGGTTTGATTGGTTAGAACCCCCAAAATAAGCAATTCAAAAGTAACTGAATAATATATGAAATGACTGTATATATGTATAAGATAATGTATAAAAGTTACATTTCATGTATACCTGCCATAGTACCTTAAAATCAAAAAAGACATGCCACTTTCAATAGAGATTAAAATATAATATTAGGAATAACCTTAATAAGAAATACCAAACCTATAAGAAAAAACTAGCAACTCTAATGAGATACAAAAATAAATTTGAAAAGAAATTGTAATAAATTGAGAGTCAGGGGACTGGATAAGTGACTAAATAGTATAAAGATGTCAACTTTTTCAAATTAATATGCAGCTTCCATTAAATTATAACCAAAATCACAACAAAAACTTTCCTAATTCTAAAATTCACCTGGTATAAGAGGTAATTACCACTTTTTTAAAAAGCTTTGAAAAGAAGAAGTTATGAATAATGTTGGAAAACTGGTACTACCTATATTAAAAACTATTTTTTAATGCTAGCAATATAACAATATAGAGAAATCAATAGACTAAAAACAGTGTGTGCATACATATGAAAATAAATAAATAATGGCCTAATAAACCCTGTAAAAACTGTTTTCTGAATATTCACTTTGTGTCACGTATTATGCCAAGAACTTTACAAATTACATATTATCTTTAATCTTACAACAGCCTGGTTGAGCAGGCATTTATTATCCCCCTAGAAGAAACTTTGAGGGAAGACAGACCTGGAATCAAGGCTTAGTTTTGTTGTTCACTGAGCATGTGAACTCCTAAGGAGTCAGGTAGTTGTCTATGTTCACATGCTCAGTGAATAACAAAACTAAGGCTTGATTCCAGGTCTATCTTCTCTCAAAGTTTCTTGTTTTCACTGCACCTTGCAACAAAGAGACATTATACATGAAGAGGAGGAGAAAGAATGTCCAGTAAATGAAGAAAAGAAAAACCTGACTAGCCTGGGTGGAGGGAAGGGGTGGAAATCCTCTCTTTATATTATATATCAAAAGAAATATAAAATGTATTAAATAAGCATTTTTGTATATTTTTAAAAGATTAAAAGTTAGATATTAGCAATTAATTCAATAAAGCCAAAATATTTTCTGGGTCTCTTTTAAGTGTTCTAGGCAGTACTCTAGGTATTAGAGATAACAATCTAAAGTTTAGATGACAATTTAAAATTACCAGATAAATATTTAGCTAAGCTTTACCTGGGAAAGAAAATATTAAGAATAAATATAGAAAAAAGAATTCACAAAAGAATAAAGATCAATAGTGTAACCTCATAAAAATGTGAATCATCTGCATATTAAAAATAAAATAAGTGAAAATGAAACAACAAATGATTACTAATTATCATATTAGTCATTTAGAATCTATGAAAGAAATGAACAAAAAATAAGAGCAATTAATTCACAAAACAAACTACAATAATTAATCAATTT